TCGCTCCCTACAGGATGTTGGACCCCGGATGGAGCCGGTCTCTGCTCCCAAGGGATGGGACAAGAGGAAACGGCCTCGAGCTGCTCCAGGAGAGGTTTAGATGGATGTTGGGAAGAGTTTATCCACCCAAAGGGCACTGGTGGAGTCACCAGCCCTGGAAGTGGTCCCAACCCACATAGCAACAGTTGGACTGGATGAGCTTAAAGGCCTTTCCCAACCTGGTTCATTCCATGATTCCATGATTCCCAACCCCCCCAGATCAATGTATGTGTGACCAGGGGCTGGGCCTCCACGTTCCCTGTGGAGGGAAGCCTTGATCCTTGATGGAAAGCCTATTTCCTTGATGGAAAAGAGCTTTGGTTCTGCTTGACACCACCTCCCGTGAGCTCTTGAGATCCCAAAAGACCTGAATCCAGAGTAAAACCCAAGAGGAAAACTATTGAGCTTTAGGGAATGAGGCCCCTTGGTGAGGGGAGTGATGGCTCCAGGTTCTGGGGGCAACCAAAGCCCATCCCAGCTGAAGAGCAGCAAAGCCAAGAGGCCAATGGAGGGTTGATGATACCTTCATGACGTTGAAGAGCACCTCCTGGCCCAGGCTGTCCTGGCCCTTGAAGAACTCGTGCTCCGGGTACGTGCGGGCGATATCCCGCCGGATGAGCTTCTCGCAAGGAGAGGACATCTTCAGCAGCTCCGAGTACTGGTTCTTGACGGGCATGTCGGTGGCACTGCAGAGCAGCTGCCACACGATGGCTCGGAAGTGATGGGGGATCCCTTTCCGGATGAGCTCCTGCAGAAGGATGAGGTGAAGACCCCCCAAAGGGGCTCTGGAGATGATGGGGAAGGTCCTTGGGGCCATGGAGAACCGAAGGGAAGGGGCTGCTGGTGGCATCTCCGCACCTTCAGCAGCTTCTCCTTCTTCTTCCGCCACTCATCCCATTCGTTGACGATGCGGCCCCACAGGATCCATGTGTCCTCCTCCAGGTGGCTCAGGTTGGAGGAGGCCGAGGAGCTGGACACCAGCGAGGAGCCGCTGTTCCTTCGGGAGCCGTTCATGGAGCGCATGGACTTGGAGTCGGCCTCCAGGAGCCTGCGAGACACGGGGATAGGCCCAAAGCAGCTCCCGAGGAGGAGAGAAGCCCAAAAGGGCACCGGAAGAGGAGGAATTTCCCCCAAATAAGCCAAAAGGAGAAGAGATTCCAGCAAAACTGTCCCAGGAAAGGAGGAATTCCCACAAAACGGCCTCAAAGGAGGAGATTCCATCAAAACCGTCCCAGAAAAGGGGGTATTCCCACAAAAGAGCATCAAAGAAGAGATTCCACCAAAACCATCCCAGAAAAGGAGGAATTTCCCCAAAATACACCAAAGGAGAAGAGATTCCATCAAACCCATCCCAAAAATGGAGGAATTCCCAAAAAACAGCCTCAAAGGAGGAGATTCCATCAAACCCATCCCAGAAAAGGAGGAATTCCCACAAAACAGCCTCAAAGAAGAGGAGATTCCATCAAACCCATCCCAAAAATGGAGGAATTCCCAAAAAACAGCCTCAAAGGAGGAGATTCCATCAAACCCATCCCAGAAAAGGAGGAATTCCCACAAAACAGCCTCAAAGAAGAGGAGATTCCATCAAACCCATCCCAAAAAGGAGGAATTCCCACAAAACCTCCCAAAGGAGGCCAAGAGGCTCCTCCAAACCTCAGGGCTCTTTTCCCATAGGAGCAGCTGAGCCCCCTCTGCCAGAACAAGGCGATTCCTTATTTATCCCTTCCAAGCAGCTGCCTCCTTCCCAAAATCCCCTTTTCCTGCTTGGAAAAGCTGCTTCCAACAAGGAAAAGCACCTTGGAGATGACCAAGCGGAGGGTTCCCACCTGGGATGGAGCCATGCTTGGAGGCAGCAGCTCCTGCTGCCCATTCCCGTTGGCTTTGGGCCAGCAGGGATGGTTGGAAGGGAAAACGCTTGGAAAACTCCGGGATAAAGAGAGGGAATGGGGGGGACGTGGCCGGGAACTCACCGGTTCTGCTCTTCCAGCTTTGCCAACAGCTCCAGCTCATCAGGACTGAGGTTTTCCGAGTCGGAAGTGGGAGAACAGGCCGGAGCCGAGTGGATGGAGGAGAGGCCTTCATGGGAAGACGAGTCGGGGCTGACACCCGGCGACGCCATGATGGGATTCCAACTGGGATCTTGGGATCTCACCTGGAAAAGCGAGCACCACCCCCCCCCCCAGCTCCAAGTTTTCCTTCTCATCACCTTAAATCTGGAATTCCCGCTCTTTTCATGGATCCGAACCAAGGTGGGAGCATCCCTCAGTGTGCAGCCCATGGAAAGCAATGGAATTCCCTAAGAATTCCCCATTTTAAGCCCAGTTTTCGCATCAGATCAGGTCTAAGCGCATCATCCTGTGTTGGCCTGGATCAAAATAGCCTAAACCCAGGAATTAAGCCTGAAATTCCCTCTTTTTGGGAAAGAATGGGTGGGATGAGAGGATGGACACAAAGCTGTTTTCCCTATGGATTCACTATAGGCGTCCATAACCCATTTTGATGGTGTTCCATGGAAAAACGCCCCCCTGAGGAAGAGGGAATCCTGGTTTGGGATTGCAGGAATGGCAGGAATGGGGTGAGATTCCAGAAGTGGCTCCATGGGGATGAGATACTCCCATAAAACATCCCAAATGAGGAGATATTCCCCCCAAACTGTCCCAACCCAGGAGGTATTTCCCTAAAGGAAGAAGAATTCCCATTGGATGAGCACGGGATGGCCAAAATGTAGGGTTTGAATCCCAAAATGAGGTGGGCAAAGGCTGATGTTGTGTGTTAGACCTGCCCAAATCCAGGTGGGAATGGGATAAGGAGAAGCAAAGAGAAGTTGTGGGGTTTCAATGGGTTTTGGGGGTGAATTCCCATTGGATTTCCAGCATGGAGATAGGAAGCTGGTGGCCATCACCCCTTGAGGGTTCCCAAGGGGATGGGGAACAGGATTTGCTGGAAACGCTTGGATTTGGACGGATTCTTGAAGGTGTGGAGGGAATTGGGGGATAAACCGGTGGGAATGGATCTGGGAATGCCACCAGGGCTCTGTTTGGTAGGAAAATGGCCCAAAAGGGGCTTGGACAAGCCCAGTTTCAGAGATGGGGAGTCCTGGAGGTCCCCAAAGTCAATGCAAGACGCCCCCAAACCCACTTGTTTTCCCACTGGATCCCACTGGTGTAAATCCCAGTTTCAGTTTTTTAGGAGTCCATGGGATGGGTGAGGAGTTGGCTCCATGGACACCAGGGATGGGTGTTCCTCAAGGGCTGGTGTTGGGCTCAACATCCCTCCAAGAGACCTGGAGAGGGGCTTTGGACAAGGGATGGGAGGAGGAGGAACATTCCAGCTGGAAGAGGGAAGAGTTAGATGGGATATTGGGATGAAGCTCGTCACTGGAAGGCTGCTGGGACACTGGGATGGGATGAACGGAGAAGGTTTGGATGCTCCATCCCTCTTCAAAGCCATCTTGGAGCAACCTGCTCTAGGAGAAGGTGTCCCTGCCCATGGAACTGGATGAGGGTTTCCAACCCAACCCATTCCATGATCCTGTTTTCCACCCCTTTTCCAGCTTTTTCCATGCTGTTTGATGCCTCTTCCACCCAACCCATTCCATGATCCTTTTTTCCACCCCACC